TTGATGATTTCAATATTTACGTTCTATGCGAAACGTTCGTACGAGTATCAATGCAACTGTTGATAGCTACTATCAATATCAGTTAAAACACTACTCTATTTGAAAATTTGATTTTCATCATCTTCAACATATGATTCATTTATCTAAGCTAAAAATCTATAAATCATATCACTAGAGTATTTACCTAAGCTAACCATTCATTACTAGATCGTACCGAATAGATGTGATGGTTTCTTGGAAACCGCTCATGCTTTATGTTCCTCTTGAAAACTGTGATTAACCACCTGCAATAACTGAAGCTAACTACACAAAAGTCACTAGTAATAATCCAACAGTCACGAAACTGAATAGTGTTCGTTCAAATGATGGTAAGTTAAATAATCTCAAGAGAATCATACCGAAACAATACATCTCAAAGACCATTACTGAAACTGAAGCAAGGAAAACACTGCTACAATCGATCTTTTCCAAGAGCAATATCTTCACAATAGTATTTCATTACTGACACAGAGCGATATATAAGCAATTTCTTTTCATTGTATATCACTTTAAATAATGTAAATAACTCCATAAACGTTGAAGAAAGGTAAGAACGAGTGGAACCGTTCACCCAGAATGAGACAATGAACAGCTCTTCTCATCAATGAGTAATTTTTGTTTTTCTAAATCAAATATTCACGAGAACCAGGGTTTATTATTCCTGAAATTTTCCGTCATTACTGGACTTCAATTTTTTTTTGTCGAATTTCATAATCTACGTCATGGATCCAACAGGATTTTGAACGGAACCTGTATGTGCTACAAAAATTCATATACTTGCTGACATTTTCCATGTTTTTCTTCTGAGAAATCAGCATAACTATGTCTACGACCTGAATCAAAGATTTCCCAATTGAAGCAATATATGAGGATTATAATTCCCATTGTGACATTCATCGTGAGCCTTGTCGACATCCCAGCTTTCATACTATAACACATAGACAATAACTCAGGGAGGTGAAACCGTAAATACCGTACTTCAGCTTACTGCAAGAATGTATCAAAATTATCGTGGAGAAATGTTTAGCTGTTTCAAGTCAACTATTAACGTGTGTCACAAGCATATTAGCTTGAGTTCATTTTACTTAACTCCATCTAGCGATAAAACCTAAATACTTCATCATACTTCATTGATTCTCAAATCTCGAAGTGCATAAAATTATTTGATCTTTGCTGCTAAACAAACCTATATGTACTGAGCTTAAACTAATATGTTCATTAGACCTAGGACAGTTCCATATCAGTTCCGCTCTTGAGAACTGTTCAAACAGTTCGTTGATAGGAACTGATCTGTCCAACCAGTTCTTAGAAAATATACAGTTCATAGAACTGGGAACTGTCCTAGGTCTAATGTTCATCTCACAAGTTGATAATAGACTTAGCTAACACATTCTACACGATAACTTTGATATACTCTCACAGTAAGCTGTAATGCGAACCTTTTGCTTTTTTTCATTTGCACTAATCCACTTAGATCTCACCTATAATGAAATTGGTGCTCAAACAACACAACACCTTGGCAAAGCTCTCGAAAAAAAACCTTATGATATTCCCAACTTCTCTTTATATTATTCACTAATTATTCAAAACAGACACTTACCACCGTCGTCATCAGTGACAATGGAATCGATGATCAAAGAGCCCAACATCTTTCTCATGTTCTTCAACAAAATGATGTAATACAGGGTATCCTAAAAGTCATGATCACTTAATCAATTCATATAACTCCACTACTAATCAAGCTTAATCGAAATTTTTCTTTTTATTTGAAAGAAGAGGCTAGTCATTTTTTATTCTTAAAGACCAAGTTCATCAGCACTGTAGAAAAGGTAGTACTTGTGGTTACAATACAAAAATTAGGCTTTTTTTCGATGCCAAAAACAATGTGCTGTGTTTTTTTTCGATATTTACTCGCATTTCAATCATTATTACGGTCTTCACATCTTTCATTGCTGTCTTGAAATCACTTTTCGATATATTACAAAACGATCGAATCATTAATGCATTTCTTCAATGCTCCACATGTTTCATTTAGGGGTAAGTATCGATTGGACTTGAGAAAAAAGTTGAAATTCATTATGGATTCAGATCCCTGTTCAGAAAAAATGACTGACTTGCTTCACTGACAAATAATTTTGACTCGTTAATATATAGCTCTCATTGACAATCTCAAAAACATTCTCAACGTTAAAGAAAGCTTTGTCTGAGAAAGCCATCAATCAAATCAGGTAACTTTTTTATAACATTTGATAGTTGCCAGTTCCTAAAATACTTAAAATGAATGATAAACAAAGTTATATTGCAAATAGTAATACTCGCTTTAAGTTTTTCTGTCTTCAATTATAAAAGAAATACTTGACAACGTTACAATATTACATTCAAATAATTGATATTTTTTTCACAGGATTACCATACGAATGTAAATAATGAGTTAAAAATCAAATGAAAATAACTTATTTCTTCAACACAAATCCTTCTTGTTACTTTCTAAATCTTATTACTTGATGAAAATAAAGCTAATTTGCATCATCATCCTGAATGGTAGGTTGATGAGACACTAGGGTTAAATTCAGAAGAAACACAGCACAATTTTAAATGCACACCGATTTTCAAAAGCTAATACGTGATATGAGATTTGGACAATTTCATCCTACAGTTTTATATAAACAATCACGACAACTTGGTAGGAGTACTCATGACAACATTACTTATAGCCATTATGCACGAGAAATTAATCGAACAGATACTGAACAAATGACTCCTGTTGCTCAAGTTTATGGTTTCATAATAGTTTTGTCTGAAATGATCGAGAAAATCAATGGAAATTCTAACTCATCTATTGCGTTGTTCAAAAATATGACACATTTGCCGCGGAAAATAATTGTTGTTCAAATGTTGGTTAAGCTCTTGTCTCATTGGCTACATATCTTTGAAGAAGTAGAATATAAATTTTGGATGAACGTACAACAGCACCGGGCACTATTTCAGAGAAAATAATCTTGTTTTAGCGCTATTTCATCAAAAAGAAAACTGTGATACGAAATTTCCGCAAGCGGCACTTACGCACTAAATGACGTTTTCTGTTTTTTCTGCTTTAGGTTAATGGATCTTCTAAACTTTTGATTAATAGATCTGTGAGTCTGGGCTACGGTGCAGAGTGTGTGTAGATGCGAGGGATGCGTAGGACAATTCGGTGAAAGTTCAGAACTGATGAGCTGCTTGTAAAATTGATCTGATCTTTTTCGACAGTTCAGCTCAGATGAAATGAGCTGTTCAAAAAGTTTTTCTGACATTTTTTTTTAATATTCAGTTTATTGTTCCATGAAGGTTAACATTTGACCAGGACATGTATCTATACACACATTACAAGGATATATATTTAAAAAAAAAGTTCTTTCTACCCATAAAAGTCAGATTTTAATCTTGGTCCTTATTCACGTACATATTTATATATTTACGGTGGTTTCGTACAGAAAAAGTTTTTCTGACCTTAGGTGAACTGCTCAAGCAGTTCTGCTCAGATCGACATCTGATTGAAGAAGGTATCTGATCGACCTCACATGTTCTGAAAGAGAGGTTGCTTCTTTTTTGGAAAATAGGATGCTGACAGTGACACGTTGGATGCTACAGCCATCGTCTAAACCGTAAAACGCATCATGCAAGTTGCTAGTGGTATTACCTGGAATACTAGAAGCATCACTAGGATGCTGGAAGCCTCACCTGGGTTACTATAGGCATAACCTCAGATATCACAGGTATCACTTGGGTTGTTTGCAGCGTCTTAAGTAATGCTGTTTGCTTTCCATGTGACGCTTCTAGTATCGCATGTAATATAACCAGCATCCCAGGTGACGCGCTTAGCAACCTAAATGATTTTTCTAGCATATTATGCTTCTATTCTTTAAGTTAATATCTCTAGAAACTCAGGCTATGCCTCTAGCATCCTACTGATGCTATTAGCATCTCATGTAATGCTACTGGAATTTCAGGTATCGGTGCAGCTGCGGGTGTGGACTCGGCCTTTGAAGTGTGCGTGCGACTTGGTGTGGGTGTGCGCTCATATGTGGATCTGAGATTCGGATGTGGTTTCTGGAGTGAATTTAAATGTTGCGATGTGACTGTTGGCATCAGGGTTCCAGTTGCCTTCATTCTATTCCAACACCCACATCGAAACTCAGCAGCTGCATCAACAGAACAGTTAATAAAATTTTAGAAGATGTATTTACTTAACAAAGAAAAAATAGAAAACTTCATTTAGCGTGGGAGTGTCGCGTGCAGAAATGTCGTCTGCGAAAATGTCGTGTAATCATGTGAGACAGATATACACATGAGAGATTACCTAGAAAATTTCTAAAGATTTGCGTATTGCCAATAACATAATTTTTTTTCTAGACTATATTCGATGTACTCTCTCAAATGGAATCAAAAGTGACAAGATTTATTCTTTTCGATCATTCATGAACTTCTTGTCCATAAATCACGATTAGTATTATTTCTAAATCGATATCTAGAAATATCTTGCAATATCAGATGTAATTGATGTATTTATTCTAGTTTGAATCAATAACAAGTAATGTTTTATCCATATTTTTTCTTTCGGAAGTGCGATTTACAACTTTGGCAGTGTAAATACCTGTTTTTGAGAGCGTAAATACACAGTATGTGGTGAAATATCTACTATCTCCAGAAGAATAAACTCCATCTTGGTAGGAGTGCTGCTGTTCGGCCTCCATTCTATGTGAAACACTGATTACAAGAATTGATACGATGAGGATATCTTTTTATTGTTTATATTATCAAATACACATAATAACAAAAAATTGAACACCAAGAAAAAAGAAAATCCTTCCTAAAATATTTTTCAATGTTTAAACTGAAAGTGAAAGACGCTAACAAATACAAAAAAAAATTATGTTTTGTATATCTATTCGAAACCTGAAACTTTTCGAGTGAATATCTGTTCATACATTCGTAAAGCTAATTTGTTTATTATCTAAACGTTTTCTAGATTTGCGTTTCGAGACTTTTTGACAGTTCAATGGCATAGAACAAATATTGTCGGCCATATCATGATTAAGTTTCTTATTTGTCATAAAAGCATCAGTAGCTGAAATTGAGTCATTCAAATCAATATCAACGAGTTGTTCTAGAAAAAAATTATAGGTAAATATTCTATTCTATTTGATAAGAATAAAAGATAGGCATACCGTCCAAGGAACTTGTATATAGAAAAGTTGATTCATGAAATTTTTGTTGTTTATAGTAAATATTGATACTTGCTGTCATACGATTCATAGACGAATATTGAAACGTAGGCATTGTAAAATAAATAACATTACCATTTAAGATAAAGTCTTTTATTTCCTGAGACCACCTAATTGTTTGTCCAAAAACAATAATAGATAAATCATCTTTAATAAAACGTCCTTTAAGAACAATAAATATCATTGACTTTCTACACATTGGACCATATCGTGGTTCTATACGTTCAACAGCAACATCACCATAACCTTTAAAAACAAATTCCCATTGAATTTCTTTTGCTAAGAAAAAAAAAAAATTTCATTCTTACTTTCTGTCATTATACAAGAATATTCTTCACTGTTGTTATCTCGCTGATAGTTGCCATTTTCATCTTGATAAATTCGTGTAAAACGAAGCATCGATTGATCAAGTTTTCGTGATCGAATTAATTTTTTTGTAATAAAATCATCTTGTTTCATTTTAATTAATTCAATCATAAAACTATTAAAAACAAATATATATTCAAATTAAAAATTATTCAAAAAAAAATCTATGTTTAATTAAACTTACGTTTTGTAACCAATTAGGAAGTCTTCATTGGTTAAACGAAAATATAATATATTAGGTTGAGTCTCTTTGAAAATTAATACTTGATCGTCGAATGATTTTTTACTATTTTTGTTATCAATAGTATAGGGATGTAGTTGTTTCTCAATATCCACAAGAGCAACTTCAATAATATTTACTTTCGATTGACTAGCCCATATCTGAGGTACCTAAAATACAAGAAAAACTTGTTTGAATATATTTGAATATTATTAATCAATGTCTTACAGATATTGCAGGATAATCAAGTTCAGCACTATCTTCACATCGTAAATAATGTGATGAAGTTTTACTTTCATTTTGTGTTCGTGGACGAAATTTTGAACGTGGTTGACATATTATTTGGATTGGTTTTGATTCTATAATATTATTTTGGACGGCTAAAACAAAACATTGAAACAATTAAAATAAATAATTAACGAAATAACTTATACCTTCTTTTTGATATACTAGATTATTTGCTATTTGTGGTGTATTACATTGTATGAAAGCTTTTGGTGCTAGAAAAAAAAAATAAATAGTTCTTAATTTATGCGTTAATTTATTTTAAATTTAAACATACCTAACGTATAATTAACTGGAGTTACAGTTGTTGATTGTTGTGGCTGAACTAAAAGAATAGTTAATAAATTAATTTTCGTGTTATAAAAAAAATATAATAGGCATACCTTGTATGTTGTCAGATACCAATGGAGTATTGCATAGTTGATCATAATCTTGTGAAATAGATTGTGCAAGAATTACATCTAAAATAAATAATATGTAAATGTATAATTTAAATAAAAATTCTTATAGCATTTACCATTAATAGCTATTGGATCAGGGAATGAATCGTTACGTTGAATAAAATTATGACAAGGTTTAAACATATCTAATAAATATACAATAAAATAAGAATATGAGATGTTAAATAAGTAAAAACAAATTCTAATTACTTGATTGTAAATGATTTGACATTGTTTTTTGTAATTTTTTTTTTTTTATTAATTCAAAACAATCATCAAATTGTGCTAAGAAGTCAGCTACTTGAGTCATTTGTCGTATGTTTTTAAATGGATCTAATAACAGGCGAAAAAAGATCAATGTATTTCAAAGCAAATAATCTATTTTCATATTTCACTCATGCAACTTTTTATTACAAATATGAAATTTCTGTCGCTTTTATATATTTATAAAATGAATGGTTCTCTTCCCATAGACGCCAGACGAAAACAACGAGGGTTTCTTTTTCTTTTTATTGACTAATAGATCAAATAAAAGGTTGGTAGTTGTTTTTTTTTGCCCCACGACACATGACATCATGTAAATGTGGGCAGTAAAAGCACACTATTTCTCTTACATATGTATTAGCTTCGAATGTCACTGATCGACTCCGTACTAGTGCGACTGAATACTCTGTCAGACTGAGTACACATTGAGTGTTCTTCTAATAATCTCTACTGATCCTTGTTCTATACCAACTACTTATCACGTATGTTAGATATATACAGGACTCAACCTATGATTGGTAAACTGGTAGTTCAGTGACTGAAACTGATGCATACTGAATCTCTCTCATTATTAATATAGTCTATAATGAACGTGAGACTATTATTGACTATTGAGTCTGTTTATAGACTATAAACTTACCATCAGTTAAAATATTCAATCCATCATCATCTATATTTAATTTATCATTGGTCTTGCAATCATCAAGAATCTATATGAAAGAAACAAACACCGAACTTAGTTAAACATTCATTCTATTTTTATTTTATCCTACCAGATTAGAAAGGACGTTTAAATCGTCAGGATATGATAATAACGGTGGTTCATGACTTGAAATATTCATTGATTTAAGTATTGTTTCTATATGAGTGAATAAAACAAATGGCGAATAAATAAATCTACAAAATAAAAGTTATTTTATTTGTAAATAATGTAAAATTATTCAATTACTCGTAAAAAAAAATATTGTTTCATACAATAAAAGAATCTAATAACTTCTTTGTTGAATCATTTCATGCAATAATATGGGATAGTTTGGTTTTATGGGGATATTTATAACGTCTACTATTACTTATCGAGAGACAAAAACAAAGTTAATAAAGATAATAATTTTAGACTTTGTATCAGAAAAGAAAAAAATATCAACTAACTATGATGTCAAAAATAATTGATTTTTTCATTCTTGTTTAAGGTCATAGTTACTTTAGTATAAAATTATGAAAGATTCAATCGTTAATTTTATTACATTGTTTTTCATGTCATTCGTTGGAAAAAAACGAATAGATATTTCACATACTAGATTAACTAACGAAAATGTGCGCTATTTTTATCGACTTACTTATGAAATAGAAATCGTGTTATTTCGATTTATATGAAATTTAAATTTACTTAGAACGTTGAATTGTGATGTATTACTAGAATAATATTATATAATTTTGTCTTTTTCTCTTATATTTTCGTTCTGTTATGTTATATATTCGGCATTTAAGTAAATCTTTTTCATTTCTATTGATATTGGAATCTACCAACGATTGTTTTGTTATCTTTCGCTTTTATGACATGGCGTGGGAATTTTCCCATGATAATCTTGGTATTTTCATATCGGTATCGACATATTTTATCTCTTTTTGAAATAAGAATTTTCATAAAATACATATGCAGCTAAAACAAAAGTAGAAGATTTCAACGTTGTACGAAAACATATGCATCATAGACATGACACAATGTGATTTGTTGATAGATTATTCATATTACTTTTGTGAAAATGTATTTCAGATGTTGCATGCTTAATATTGATGCAACAAACTAATAGCAATCAATTTGAAAAACAATATTGTCTTGAAGTTCGTACTGACATATTAACGTAAAAATATATGTTTTTGCTGTTAAAACTTTGATTCTGATAAATATAAATATCATATTTCAAAATTCACTTTTTATTTATGAAAGAAAAACTTTGATGAGTCATTTTATATAATTTAAAATATGAATTTCTTCTAATGAGAAGGTCAATAATTTGAAATTAAAATTACTTATTACTTGAAATAAATTTTACAAAAAGATTATAGTTATTTTTCTTTCTGAATTTTATGCAATTGAGATTTTTATTTATTTACATGTTTGCTGTTTGTCAAAAATGATTTTTTTTTTCTTAGTATTTTGTAATAATAGTAATGAATGTATTGTTTCTTGAATATTACACAACTTTTTCTGTCAAATATGTAATCGGATTTCTACATTTACACAAGAAGTTGATTTCTATTCATGACATTAACATGTTTATTAAAAAACTTCCTTTTAAAAATCCCAATTCGCTCCATTTGTTTATTCAATAAACTATTGTTCGATTAGAAAAAGAAATCTCGATCATATTACATAATTATATATGAGTAACATAGGCTATGTATTAATTGGTGTTATACATGATTTTGTTTATTTATATTGTTACATAAGACATTTTTTTACACTAATATAAATATTTCATGATATAATAAAAATGTATTTTTCTATGAAAATTTTATTTTTTTTTTTGACAAGAAAAATTTAACATGTATTTGGAAATAGTTTGAGATTGTTTTTATAAAGCTCAAGATCAGGATGATTTGCAGGTAATGAGCGTTTTCCAAGTTCAATAGCACGTTCGATAAATAGAAGTCCTTTAGAGTATCTGTGCATTTTTGCATAGAATTCACCAATACGATTGTAGGAACCGGCCAAGAAAGGATGTTCTGGAGGTAAGATCTTTTCTCGAATTTCAAGCGCTTTCTCGTGAGATTTAATGGCTTTGGATAGCTCGCCCATCTTGTCATATACATTTCCAATATCATAATAAGAAGTGGCCATATTAGGATGAGTTTCAGGAAGAGTATTTCTGAAAATTTCCAAAGCTGTTTCATGATATAAAAGTGCTTTTGAATAATCGCCCATCCCATCATATACTTTACCAATATTACCGTATGAAATAGCTATACGAAAATTATTTGGAGAAAGAGTTTTTTGAAAAATTTCCAGTGATTTTTCAAGTGATGCAAGTGCTTTGGAGTAGTCGTGTTTTTTCGTATAGACCAAGCCAATTCCATCATATGAACTACCCAGAAAGTGATGATCTGGAGAAAGAATTTCTCTATTGATTTCAAGTGATTTTTCATAAAAATTGATTGCCATTTCATAATCTCCTTGACCATCTTTGATCACTCCAAGATGATGCATAATATGTGCTTTCTCAGCTTCATTATCAGACTGTTCAAATAATATTTTGTATAGATCTTCGGCTTTTATAAAATGACCTATCATAATTAAAAATCGACCTAGACGATGCCATCCTGTCAACCATGAAATTTCATTCCGTATCCGTTCGGTAAGATTACGACGTTGAGGATCATCATCACTAGTGAGCTTTAATTCTACTTGCCAGAGACGATCGTTATCTTGTTCGATTTGTTTGATATGACCAATACGAAAAACACTATGCATTGAAAAGAGAATTTCACGTTCTGTCTGATAATAGCTAACATTTTTGATGGATGCAAATGGAGTTGATAATAAAGTAGGATTAATTGTCATTACGAATAGAACACCTATTAAATCAGAATTTAAAAGAGACTGACGAGCAAAAGTGAGTGAAACATTTTGATTTTTACTGGTGGATAAAAAAGTATTAAAAGACAATAATCCACCCTGTGTTTTCATCAATTGATTGAAATCTGTCTTAGTTAAACCTTGACCACGGTAAATAGTAAATGAATCCGATTTGTGATGGCCATGAAATTGGTCAGAATGTAATTTTACAATGTCTTTATGAAGGTCTCGAATGAAGAAGCCCATTTTAATAATAGTATCAAATTCCATTGTACGTAATGCTTGATTAAGCATTGAATATAGAAAACACTCGTATGTATACCACCATATAGGTTTATGTTGATGATATTCTCGTTCCAATTTCTTGATATTTTCTAATTCAATAGAATTATTAGCAAATTTCTGACGGCAATAAATAATAAAATCTTTCATCGATTGTTGATCAAATTCAATTGTCAATAAAATTTCTTTTAATATTTGTGTGTACATGAAAGACTGGTTCATTTGATCCGAACTTTGTTGTAATAATTCTTCATTTGTCGAAACGAAACCAATTGAAATAGCATTTTGATCACATTGTTGTACAGCTTGTTTCAATTCTTTACAAATAGATGGTATTTCTGTGAACACACCTCTTACTTTTGACCATTTTTGAGCCCATTGTTTATGTCTTGACTGATTTTGACAAAAGACATATATTGAATGGATTTGATATGCATCATGTATCTTAGGCACAATATGTTCACCAAGAGCTCCAGATATAATCATAAAAATATTTTCTTCTTCGATATATGTAATGAAATCAATGCAACGATCAGCATCAGTGAATGTGTTTATAGTATTAACAACTTGTTGTAATTGACTAATTGTATTACAACAATCACTATTGTTTACTGCATCAATATTGCTATCGAGCCAGATGAGAATAAAATTTTGCATATTGACAGGGAAACAATGTTGACATAATTTTGTTTTAGTTTTCTTAGACGATTTGGACATTTCTTTATCTTCCCATATACTGGAGAAAACAGCAGATATTTTCTTCCAATGTTGCATATTGCATTGAATATGTCTTATTAATAAAAAATGCTTACGTAGTAAAACAGTTAATGATACCACTATAATATAGTTAATGCTTATTTCTTCCTTTTTTTTAAATATTTTATTACACGTCACTATATTTACATGTTCTATAATGAATTATATCCTGTATACGCATTGATATTTGATCAAATGTGCCTATATGTGAAAGAAAAAGGATGGACGTAAAATTTTTGTTGGTAGAAATCGAACGAGAGAAAAAAAAATAGCTATAGGCTGTCGTCGATATAATTGTTGGCAATAAATGAATATATGTCTTAAAGAAAAAAAAACAACTCGATCCCTTAAGTTAATCTAGCTTTTCAAAAGTTCGCTATTTTTCTTGCACCATCCTGTTTGTGTGAATCATAAGTGATTTAAAAAAATTACTTTTATGAATAGAATAGAAGAGAAAATGAGAGTAAACTAGATTATAACAATATATTATAAATTATGTTCGATACAGGGTTTCCGATGAGGAACGGATTAGAGCTTGGTCCTAAAATACTTGACTTGCTGCGAAAAATGTTAATATTTTCTGTCAATTTTTTTACAGTTTCGTGGTAACTTTGGACAGCAGCCAGATATTGAAACACCAAATGCGAGAGTAGGAGGCTTGATAATAAGTCGTCCGTTGTATGTCACAGTGGGTTTCGTTCTTCTCCCATTATCATTCTTACCATTTCGAGAATGAAAGCACATGCTGTAAGAAATTTTGGACTTTCTTCAGAATTTCAGCTTCCTCCGTTTCGATCTCTAGAAAATATCGACAACTCTGCTTTGAGAACAAAGAAATATTTGAAAGAGGAAGAAACAACAAGTGTAATGTCTTTTTTTTTAAATCATCAAAAAGTCTGTCATCATATATTTTATCAAGTCTATTGACGAGACCATATTATGTCGATATCAATATTCATGTTTTCTTGGATTGCATTTATACAAAACACAAAATGTATTCGAGCATGATAATCGTAATATAGATTGAAAATGTTTAACCAAGGAAGGGATACCCTCGCAGCTATATTTAAGCATTAATGTGTAGCAAAAGTGTGCTAAAAGTATGTTTTGTACTAAATAGAAAGGAATATTTCAAAATAATGACCACTTAACAAGATTTATTATGAACATAAGATATTGACTCAAACGAGAAAGCAACAAATGGGCACTAAGATAATTAGTCATAATGTACGATTGACTGCATTTTCGACCGAAACATGCTTCCTATTTCACTTCTCGCAGACCTCCATTGCATATAGATGATTCCATTACACAAAGCACCGCGTCAGTATGAAGGAAACATGTGAAAAATGATGATTTGCTCCATGGAATGAATTCATAGATAGTCTCGCTGGTAAACGGTAATTAAATGTTGATATCCACATCTTGCGTTAATCGATATGGTACGATTAGCCGAAAATTACATTCATTGTCGAATAGCGAAACCTGCATCAGACAGACGCTCTAAAATAAAAGAAAAAAAATATATGAATCATAGAAAATTTGTAAAGCGACTACTACTTGCTCTCGTCTAAAGCTTTGTGATCAATTAGAAGAGTTTACTAAATATTCGTATTTAAAATTATATCTAATGTTTCTTGTTTATGAATAGATGATTTGTTATTTTCTGAATCTCTTTGAATTATTTCTTTATAATACTGAGAAAAGTTTTTTGTGGACTTTAGTTTTTAATATTGCGACCAGTACTACACTGTGATTAGAAGAAGAAAAAGAATATCCTTGCCTTTCGGCTATCTTTCAGTATAAGGTGCTGTCCAAGAACAGTTTCGAAAGCCTGATGTTTTTCCTACAACTATTACTAACTGCAGCTCTGGACAGAAGACCAGCCTGACTCAGAGTTCCTCCCGCTTAATCACTTAAGCTTTCCATGCATACTGACTAACCACATACTAGCCACAAGGACTTTTTGTGTATGTCACATGTAGTCAGTGTGCTATCGAATGGGTGGTTCGAAGCAAACAGTAGTTAAGAACTTGTCTAAGGTCATTCTATGTCTGCTGACGTCGAAGTTCGAACACAATATCTTGTGGATGTGTCAAACATCTTAACCATTCAGCCATAGCGGCTTACACTGTGGTTAATTGTCTTTCGATCAATTAGCGTAGACCAGACGTTAGCAACTTTTAATATTGCATGTATATATGTTTCGTTTATATGGAATATATTCACTCTGAAAATATTTTCACCTCATTGATCCTAAGCGCTCAAGCACGATTCATTGAATGCGAATAAAAGGACAATTACATTCCACTTTAAAGAAGATGAGATTTTTTTTCTGCCATATAATTTAATTTATTTCTAATTTATACATAATTGTGTTAATCGTCTATCGTTGTTGTTCTAGTACTTTATTTTTAGTTTACTTTACACGGCGACGTGTTTGGTTTTGGTGTTTTTTTTCGAAATAATCGATGGCGAACATAACTAGTCAAATATTTATTGGAATAGTTGTTGCTAGTTGATGTCATAGCACTTACATTAACTTCAGTTGGTTTTTTGAAATTTAATTTATCCAATATTGCTACAATTAAATCAAAATCAAAATAATTAAAGAAAGAAGAAATCGAAGAGAAAAAAGTTACACATACGATCGAACTCTGCAACATATAAATAAGATGATTTCTGAAGTTTTTTTTTAATATTCTTTATTATAAATAATAATTCTTCCTGTAGCACTCTTGTTATATGGAAATGGCAGAAAACAGGAATGCAAAAATGAATAGCATTTTCAGTTGAATCAAACTTGGTTATTTGATGAATCCAACCCGGTTTTAGTTACAAATTTCGATCATTACTTTTTTATTGATTTTTTTTATTTGAGATCCATAAAAGTTACGTACAATAATTAATACCTATCCATGAATATAAAACGAAGATATATATGCTTAACAACAACTTTTCCACACTCTATGATATAAAATAACTTTCGTTGAAGTACTGGTTCTAAAAGAAAATTTATGGTGTTATTTTCTGTCATAATACAAGAATATTATTCACTAATCTGATCTCGTTGATATCCTATATAGTCATTTCGATAAATTTGTGTACGATAAAGTCTGAATTTTCCAGTCTCTAGTTCGCGAACTAAATTTTCTTTGTTAGAAAATCATTGCGTCTACTTTTTATACATTTCATCTTATAAATATCAAAGAAAATGGAAAACATTGTTAGAATTTTTGAAATAGAATAAATGTGCTTATGTTTTAAAGTCAATTAGAAAATCTTCATCAGTTAAAAGGAAATAGAATGTATTTGAAACATTATTATCTCTGATCTAGACGAATAATTGATTTTAAGGTAGGAGTCGTTCTTTTGTTTCGATAGCATATTGATGAAGTTAATTGCCAATGTTCGTACAAATGTGACTTTCGTAAAGTTTTTTGTTGGATTAATAAATTCAATCCTTGAAAAGTGTAGAAAGGCTAAAATCTTTAAACATTATGGGATTTATCAACGGAAACGGTGACCGATCACTTCGTCGCACGACACTTCGTCGCAATCACTTCGTCGCACGACACTTCGTCGCGATCACTTCGTCGCAGAACAATTTTTTTCCGTTCTGTTCGTCGCAGAATAATTTCTTTCGTTCTGTTCGTCGCACAACAATTTCTTTCGTTCTGTTCGTTGCGTCCCTCTCAATCAATTGTTTTTCAAGACATGAAATTGATCAATTTAATTCATCTTTATTTTGTGCATGATACATAAGATAATGATGAACAAATTGAGTACAAAAAAAAAGAACCAAACTAGAAAAACCAAAAAAAGAAGAGAAAAAAAAAATTAAAGAGTAATGTTAGCCGCAATATTTTTTAAGTTATTCTTCGTTCACTGGGGCTCCATCAGAATGACATTGTATTTTAATTTTTTATTGATCCGTTTTCCCAATTAAAGTCGTATGCATTAGAACAATCAATTGTCTATTGTTATTGTACACATCCTTTAGAGTGTTTAATTTATTTTAATTTATTTTATTTTATTTGTTTATATTTAAAAAAAGAATCAATTGAGAGGAACACAACGAATAGAACGAAAAAAAAATTGTTCTGCGACGAAGTGCTTGCGACGAAGTGTCGTGCGACGAAGTGATCGCGACGAAATGTACTAGTGCCGTTGCTTTGTGTGTGTATGTTTACTTCCACAAATGTCTAATTATTCAAACTTAATAATTTAATATGTGAATATTCGGCTTTGAGATATGTTGATATTTAAATATTAATTTTAACTTTCATGTTTTATATATATGAAATAGACATTGAGATGTTTTGATCAGTAATTAGTAATTTGCATGAAGTCTCACTTAAATAGTTTCACTCTTACCATTAGAAACCCTACATTATAATTAAAGCAAATTTCATGGTTTATTTTTAACATTTATCAATTAACTATATAAGAGTATCTATAAAGAGACAAACTGTTCGACTTTTTTATGCATTATTTGTTTAGAAATATCAATATATATTAGTCAAATATTAGAAGCGAAAAAGGCTTTTGAAGAATTCGTCATAGAACTTTATTACGATGTTAAACAAGCGATTGAAATGAAACTTTGACTTCATTCACACTATTATTCTATAAAACTTTCGTAGACACCGAAGTGACAAACGCAACTACAACTTCAAATGAAAAAATGGGAATGTACAACTAATATTAACTATTACACAGGTTGGTATTAACGATAATCTAATATTTGAACCAGATTGTATATATATTGTTGGATATTCTACTTCTTTCCTTTGCACATATCGTGTATATTGCATTATATTTGCAATTTCATTTAGTGTACATGAATGATATGTTGAACCTAATTGATATCTCATCTGAACTTATTTTCGATCGTTTAA